CGGGCTGTTCTGGCTGGGGTCACCCGCGCGTCCTCCCGGCACACGTGGATTTTTGGCCTGTTGTAAGGGAAGTGTAACTTTCGTTCTTGTTTTTCTTGGAAGCTTCGAAGGGTCTTCACGGGATGGGTGCAGCGGTCTTTCCAGAGCACCCAGGCAGCTGCGGCCTCCCGGAACACCTGTGCTGCCGACGAGAGCAAGGCCGCCCGCCCCGCGCCCGAGGACTGCCCCGTGTGCTCGCACAATGAGTGGGACCCGCTGGAGGAGGTCATCGTGGGAAGAGCTGAAAATGCTTGCGTCCCACCTTTCTCTGTGGAGGTGAAGGTAAACGAGAAAGAAACAACCTTAAACAGGAAATAACGCAGGTTTAAGATGTACAATTTGCTTCAGCTTTACAGGGCACAAAGTGTGGCATTTGCTCTGGAGGATTCTTCTTCCAGAGTAGTTCTTTACATCTGTGAAATCTTGCAGCATAGCTGTGTTGGGGGACGTGCTTTTTTGTTCCACTCTGAACTGAATTAGCTATTGTTACAGAAGTCAGTAGCAGAGAGAATCTCTAGTACGTACAATCTGCTCTAGTGATGCAGCCCTGATGTGATCAAAGTGGACGCTCTAGCCTTTGAGATCATTGGTAGGACTGATGACAATTGAATTGGGCTTGAAACTAAGTAGGGTTATCACTTGAGGAAAAAGTGTAGTTTTCTACTTAATCTGAGAAAGATGGAGTTCTATAGCTGTAAACTAGCAGGACTGTTCTGTTTAAATAGCTCTTAAATAGGTCACTGGAACACTTGTGTGCTACAGTAAGAATTGTGTGAAAATACATACTCTTCTGTGCCTATAACTACAACAGCAATCTAAATAAATCCACATTTCTTTGTGCTCTGAAATGTGGTTTAGCGCAGGAACACTCAAACAAGGGCCATGCTCCAGGTTTTTATTGTGCGTAGTTTACCTGGACCTTAAAGTTGCAAAGTATGTGTTGTAACCTGCATTTGTGGGGGTGATCTCGAATTGTTCTCTTCCAGTGTCACAGTGCAGTACTGCCTCCGAGGCAGCCTGTGATCCCCGGCCATCACAGCAAAATGAGCTGGCACGTGACTTCTGCTGAAGGGACCTTAGCAAATTTTTAAAGGATGTCTTGACAAGGTTGACCAGAAGACCTCAGTTAAAGAAAGAATGTGAATTCTTCTGATCTGGTGTTCAAGGAATGGCAAACAAAGATACTGGAAATGTGTTTAAGGCGCTGGAAATCGTAGTTTAGAGGAAGTTTGTGATGTACTTGTAGAGGATACTTCTCTTCCTCCAGCACCTTTTATGTTTGTATATTTTTCTTCAGAATCTGGGCTATGATTCCAGGCAAAACTGTTTGGAGGAGTGTGAATGAGTTACTGCAGCTTGATAGTTCTAATCTCCAGACAGAGGAGTAATCGTATGACTTACGCTGGGACATTTGAGATGGTATCTTGGCTCCAGTGAGAGCAGTAAAAGCTTTACCACTGACTTCATTATGACTTGTATTTACTCCTTGAAAACTGAAGCTCAGTTACCACTGGAATTGCGTTTCAGACACTCCAGAGATATTCTAGCAGCTTCAGAAAAAGGAGAGAATGAGGCTTGGCATTTCTAATATACAAGTGTATGTACATGCATTTATGTACTTAAAACTGCCATAGTGAATGTGCAGAAAGAGTAAGGGGGGGGAAAAGTCCAACTTTGTTATATTGTAACCTTAAATGACAAAAAACTTTGTTCTTGAGTAGTGGCCAAGGGCTTGCTTTAGTGTCGGCGAAAAAAAATTATTCTTTGAAGTGCCTAACTTGCTGCAGTGTGACATGCTGTACAGCTAGCCTGGTTGTAGTGGCTCTTAAGCCATAACTAATGGCATGAGGGCAGAACTTCACTTTCTGTTACATACTGTATCAAAAGCTCAAGGAATGTCAAAGTATAGCATTACCTCTGCAATTCAAATTCCTACAACTTGGGGTGAAAGCAAGCTTTAGCTTTGCTTCATGTAAACTGCTAAGTCTAAAGAATACATTGGCCACAACAGATAATAGTAGTAGAGCGTGCTGGCTGAGTTGTAGTTTCCTCTAGTTTAGTCTGCTTTTGTCTTAGATTGTGCTGTAGAAACTGCAATGGTGACTTTGCCTGAGGGTGTTGCTGAATAGTCCAAACAGTAGTCCAAATCCTATCTTGCCAATACTGAAAGATATAAATAGATTCAGTTCTTGTTCCTGTCTCTGCTGTGAGGCTGAGAGGTAAGCGGTGGATGTGTGTGTTGCTCTGGTGTAATACAACAGCCAGAAATCCCTGCTACTGTCCCTGTAAGTAGCAACACTAGGGGTGATGCATATCATATGCCTTCTGCCAAGTATGAATGAGGGTCATGGGCTATGAAAACTGCAGTTTAAAACTAGCGAATTTGAGTTGTATGAGGAAAACATTGAGGCTTTGGACCCGAGACACTTTAAAAAAACCCAACATGTTAAATCAGAACAGTTTTGGTGAATTCTTGCTTTAAGGTACTTTGAGGTTGTGTTTTAAGATTGCATGCATGTTTATTTACATAATATTTAAGTGCAGGAAGTATGGCTGCATTCAGCACTGTGTTGTACTTTGAGACGTGGGTTTGGTATACACAAGTCTTTTTGCCGTGATGTAGGAGTGATGTGCTTGGCATAAGAAGGAGGGAATTGAACAGGGAGCTCTACATATCCGATGAATATTCATGAGCTGATGTTTTGTTGTATTTGCTTTTGGGAGCTTGAAATGGGCTATGTAGGTTGTGTAGAGGGAAGTACACCACCAGGAAACACGGGAAATCTTAACTAGGAAGTTACCAACTACATTAGTTAGGAAGGTGCTATTTTTTAATTAGCATTTTGGTCAAAAATCTCACAGTTCAGATGTATTTTTCTGAAGCAGTTGATGCTTAGTCAAACAGTTGAACTTTATAGCTTTGTACTCTGCAGTGGTTTTCAGTATATTTTGTGACTAATAATGCATGTTTGGTGAAGAGGTATTATTACCACAAATCATTATATCTTGAGTGAGAAGCTGGGGGGGGGGGGGGGGGTTTTTAACATTTTGATCTGAATTTCTGATGTCCTAAATTTAGTAACTCATTACTAGCTTTAAGGTACATCTTGAGAGCATTTACATTGATAATGTTAATTATTTTCCACAACAAAAGTTTAAAATATGTAGCAACTATTGGGAGTAATTCTGCTGTTTTGTTAAAGACAGTATTTTCCTTACAGCACGCCCTTAAATTTCTTTCTGAAAAGAAAAGATGCTTCTCCAATTTCTCAGGTACTCTCAGGTAGGAGGTTATAAGGTGCATTCAGGAGATTATTTAAAGCTCTGTTCTGTGTCCTGGTCCTGGTACTTTTTGAACAGTCTGAAATGAGTTCTATGTGTATAATCAAAGGGGCCTGAAATCTCAACCCTGAATTTGTATGAAAGAGATGTCCGAGTCATATACCTGTTTCCCAGTTATTCAGAAGGTAGGGAATGCGAGTGGTGTTACAGTGCTAACCCTTACTCCGTCCTGACTTTAAAATTATGCCATCGTATTAGTGCACCGTAATTGTCATTTCTCAGGTTTGAAAAAGAGCGGTGCTAGAGGAAACCTGGTGAAGAGGGGAGCTGTTAGGAATTAGTGATACCTAAATACATCATAGGTGGCTCTGAAGATAACTAGCTTTACTCCTTAGGACAAATTGTTGCATTAGCAGAACTGGTTTCCATAGGAATGCTAGGCACTTCATATGATCTGCCTGTGACTTCTGAACAGCTGGCAAGTCTGAGGTGATCGAATTGCCCGAGACCATGCTTAGAGAAAAATAATAAATTCCTTCAGGAAGGACAGGAAGAAGCTTCAGTACTGGAGGAGCAGGATACCCATGCCAAGACCTTTGCCTGGGCTCTCTGTGTAAACATTAAGGCTGTCTAAAAGGTTGCATTTTTGATTCCTTCTGCCTTACTACTTTAGCCTGAGGGCAAATATCCAGAAACAGCAGAGAATACAGTGGACAGTCTGGATTGTTAAAGGAGATCAGGCATGCCCTTGGATGAATGGCCTTGCCTGCTTGGGGCTCACTGACAGTACTAGCACAAAAGGAACATCATTGCATTGTTTTTGTCCAGAACATCGCTTTCTGGAAGGTAGTCAAGACTGCAGTGGGAGAAGATAACCATGTTTGGGAGGGTAGATTCTCCTGTGTCCCGTTGCTGTCCTTCATGCTGCCTGAGTGAGCAGGACTATGTTTGGTAGAAGGTGGACCTTATCACTTGCTCATTTGGCCCTGACCCTTTCTGCTGTCATTCTAGAAGGGCACATGTGCTTGTTCCTCTGCCATAATAGTGTTACCAGACACCCATCAAAATTGCTGGTTTCACAGCTTACAAATGTGAATGAAGTATTTTCAAAGATATGCTGAACTGAAGCAACATTATTTGTTTTGATTATGTCTCTGGATTCTCTTAATCATGAGAGCTAGGGCATTATTTTGAATTAGTTTTTAATTTGAGAAGACTATCATAGGATTTCAGGAGCAGAGGATTTAGGCCTGTAGATGTTGTACTTGTTTTGATGCAATGCAGACAGGTGAATTTAGTGTCTCTTGTGTTTTCTAGACTCCTGCTCTACCTGAAATATGGCCCCTTCTAGCCAACAAGGCATGTTACCTGCACTTGGGGTGGCCTTAGAATTCCTGGTGTCACCACTGTGACAGTACTGAAGTGAGGTTCTAACAAGGTGACTACAGATGTGTGCATTTTGGAGATGAGCTCAAGGTTGTTTTCATTTAAAAACACATCTGCTAGCCTTCTTAAATAGCAGACTCTTTGGTGTGTTTGTACAGGTCTAGTGTAATACGGACCAAATCTTTCATGTCCACTTGGCAGTGCTAGCCTCTAAATAGTAACTGAAGTGTAATTCAGTCTCTTGGTTTTCATCTGATTTGATAAATGAGACTTTCTGCAGAGCTATGGCTGAAGAGGGGAAGACACGTCAGTAATATTTATTACATTGTTTATACTAGTATTTCCATCAGTAGAAACAAGTAATATAAGCTACTGATCCATCTATGTCCAAACATATGAGCAAATTAAATATCCTGAAAATTCCATCTAAAAGAGAATCTGAACTTGCAAGTGGGAGTGAAATGTGAACCTCTCCACATTCCAGAATGGCTTTCACTTCTTTTTTCCTGCTGTTCCTCAGAGGATGCTTTTTCTTGGGCATCATGCCACATGTGCTGTCTGTCAGCAGTGCTGGAGCTATCTGCTAGTTGAACGAGCCTGCTTAGTGCATACGGCTGAAACTTAACTTTGTCACTGTGTGTATTTGTGAAGACATCAGCCATTCACAACGAGACTAACACCTGCACTTACATAAGTTTAATGACTGGACATGTGCACGTCATAAAGCATCTGAGTGAAACCTTGCCAATAGTTCGTATAAATAGAAGTAGTAAAGACAGCAGAGTGCTACCAGGACAGGGATTCACAACCAGGAATAATTCAGTATTTATCTGAAGCATTGAAGTTTCTCCCTTTTTTCTACTGCCCCTTTATTTTAGAAGAATCAGCAGGACAGGAACGATTCTTAGCAACTCTTCAAAATATTGCAGAAATCAAATAGGCCTGTAACTAGTGGTGTCCCCAGGGGTCGGTATTTGGCCCAGTCTTGTTCAACGTCTTCATCAACAACCTGGATGAAGAGCTAGAATGTACCCTCAGCAAGCTTGCTGATGACACAAAACTGGGAGGAGTGGTGGATACACCGACAGGCTGTGCTGCCATTCAGTGAGACCTGGACAGGCTGGAAAGTTGGGCAGAGAGGAACCTGATGAGGTTCAACAAGGGCAAGTGCAGGGTCCTGCACCTGGGGAGGAACAACCCCATGCACCAGTACAGGCTTGGGGTGGACCTGCTGGAGAGCAGCTGTGTGGAGAGGGACCTGGGTGTGCTGGTGGACGACAGGTTGACCATGAGCCAGCAGTGTGCCCTGGCTGCCAAGAAGGCCAATGGGATCCTGGGGTGCATTAGGAGGAGTGTGGCCAGTAGGTCGAGGGAGGTTCTCCTCCCCC